CAATACAACCAGCATCACAGACTCTTTTTAAAACTGATTTTGCTTGTTTGTTGTTTTGGTTTTTACAGGGCTAAGGTTTGTTATTTTGGTCACAAAAAGACAGCAAGATGGGAACTATTTATTATCAAGATTTGAACATGAGGAAAATATAGATCCTCTATGCAGAGGCTCACATCTGCCTTTGGCTATAAGTACTCAATCCCAGTGATTTTTGTGTGCCTGAAGACAGCTTATAAACAGGGGTATCAAAATTACATATTTAGATACATCATATTACTTAACTCTGCTGGTTTTGCTCTCAAAGTTTCTTTTTCTTTTTGCTTTAAAATATTCTGAATTATGGAATTAGAGGGAAATTATACATAATTTGGAGCATGTGAGAATTCAGATGTTCAATTTGACTATCTTAGGTTATCTCCTCTTTCAACTTTGAAAACCCTTTCCCTGGCACTCGTTTCTCCCTTGTCTTTTACACTAATGGCAAAACAGCCTTACACCCTTTCTGTGTTTGCTTTGGGCTCCTTGTGCCCACCTCAACCCCTTCATCTGAAAAATGCTGAGTCTCCAGCCCAAATTTCTGTAACTTGGAAGTTGTTTCAAGGCAGCCCCAGGCTGAAGGCGATCCCACAGGATCTGGTTGTGCTTGATGGAAGCAAATGCCAAGTGTAGTCCTGATCCAAAGCTCCTGGAAATGCTGGGAGGTTTCTCCTGCATGACTCAGGGAAGGATTTACACAGGTGAGCCCTGGTGGAAGAGGACTTTGAATGCCAACACTTTCAAGATTCAGTTTCTCCAGGTTTCCAGTGCTAAGAAGGGATGAGAGGGGATGTAGGTTCGGTGTCCTTTTAAAGGAGAAGTATCAATTTGGCAATATTGCCAATAAATAAACAGCCATGCTCCCTTAAAGAGTGGGACTGCACCATCCAACCATCCAGCTCCCTCAAAGCTGGGAAGAGCCCTCTGGTTTCATCCTAGTTATTCCCTTGCTTTTCTTTTCCCCAAGCAGTGGGGATAGCTGAAAAAAAACCGTCATCATTTTATTGCTGTTTCTAATAAACACATATGGTGATGCATATAACAAGAACAACAGCGAGTTGCTATTGTTCAGTGCACGGCCATATGTGGGCTGTCCAGCGGCTCGGCAGCTGCATCGTGAGCACTCAGGAATGTCGATAGCCCAGAGAGAAAGGAATGATTTTTAAGGGCTCTGAGCCTCACAAATAGTGTGTCTGCTTTACATACCGCTGTTGCTAAAACAACTTCTGACCGTGTTGTGCCAAAAGCATAGATGTGGCGTTAGTCACTGCAGAAGTTTATAAGGTGATCAAATTGTTAGCAATTGCAATGCAGAGGCTGAGAAATTAGTTGGGACCATGTTGAAGGGAGCTCTGCAAAATGAAACAAAATGAATTAAAATATATATATATATAAATATTTTCTATTACATACATATGTATGCATCTGTATATATGAATTTATACAGTTAGTACTTCTTTTTTAAGTCAGAAACTCCGGCACTTGCACATCTAGTACTTCACATAATAAAAACTTCGACCCCAGCACTAATCCATATTTATTTTATCCCGTTGTGCAAGGTTGAAAGGCATGCGATTTACCAATAGTTTGTTCTCCATTAGCTACATTTCCCTCTGGCCTCATACGGCTCTGCTTGGGCTGGATGATGCATACTTGAGTGATGCAGAGGCAGCCCAAATGTGATGGTTGGGATGCCTTGCGTACATCTGTGTTTCTAACACTCTTCTTTTCCCGATGCCATATTTACACAGCAACCTGACTGAAAATGAACAGCCCATCTGTACATCTTCATTTTTCCATCAGTGTGTTTGGGGGAGAGAGACTGTGATTGAGGGAGAAGAAATAAAACCTAAAAGCAGGCAACAGTTTCTCAAATTGGGACAAACAGGCAGGCAACCATATCTTTATTTAAGGACTTGAATAATTTAACTGCTTTTTTTTTGTGTGTGTGAGATGCTGAGTACCTAATGTAAATAAGAGGAGAGAGAAAAATTGTAAGGGATCCAAAAATCAACTACTTGCATATGTCTCTGAGCATGGATTTCAGAAGTCTCATTTAAATATCAAAGTGCAAATAGTTTTGGTCAGTGCTTCTAACGTATGGTGTGATGTCTTCAGTCTTGTCCTGCTTTTGCATATGTACCCCTTGCACACGCCATCCTAACGGCACACAGATTACCTGTATAACGGGACGTGATTTGAGTAACACATAAAGCCCTGGGTAGAACCGCATCCAGGTGTTCACAGAAACGATAGACTAGTTCAGACTGCCAAAAATCCACAACTGTTTTTGCCCGATAGACAAAACCACATACGTTTGCACACTTGGATATCCACAGAAAGTAAATATTGTGCATGACAGACTTTTCAGTATCATACACAGTAGTGAAAGAAAAAAAAAGACGAAAAAAATAACTTCTGTTTCACTCCATCGTAGGCAGTTCTTTCCAATGGGTAAAGCAAAAATGCCTGGTTTTTCTTTGAAATAATGAAGGGCTGTGTTTTGCCCCTTGACAGACATACGTGGCTCTCAGTTCCTTCTGGGAGCAGTGGGAGGACTTCAAAAAACCCCCATGCCAAGGCCTGATTTTCAGAGGTCCCCAGCATCCACCGGTTCCTGTTGACTTGTGAGTGACATACAGCTTGAGGTTTTGCTCGTTCCTCAGCTGAATCTTTCAAAACTCGTGATTTCTCAGCATGAGTCAGTGTTTTATGTAACCCCAGCCTGCATTCCTCCAAACCCCTCCTGAGTTCGAAGTGCTCCGACAGCCAACCTCAGATTCTTCATCCTTGCAGCTGACAACTCCGGTCCTTCGGCGGCGGCACGACAGGCTTCTCACACTGCTCCTGAGGGCTCAGGGGCCCTGGAATGGCTCTTCTGGGCACTGTAGGGACTGAGGCTGGAAGAAAGGTGGCATGGAGAAGGGAGCTCTGCTCCTAATGGGCAAGGTGTTGGGCTTTCCTGCAGCAGAAATGCCCATTGCTGGTTTTGTTCAGCTGGTCCTTTTTCTCTTCCCTACAGCAGCATCAGTTTTATCCATAATCCTGTCAAGAAATAAATAAGCCCACAATCATTTTTCCCGTAAAAGCATTAAGAAGGGAGGACACTGATTTGGTGTATCCCATTTGCTGTTGGTCCTCTCAGATTGCAGCCTCAGCTCACACCCCGGCACTCTGCTCCACCTTGAAGGCATTCTGAAGTTGGGCACCTGAACAAGTTTGAGAGGTGGATTTTGACTCAATATTATTTTTCACCAATATCTGTAAATATACTGAAATAAACACTGAAAGCACATGAAAGCAGTGGGAGAAGGTGAGAAGTTAAAATCTACTTTTTATTCCATTTCAACTAGTTTCCCCTTGAGATGTGGAAAATCTCTACCTGTGATGCTTCCTGTGGAAGCTTTTTGTGCACGTTTTCTGGGGGAACTCCTTGCTGGTGGGATAAACCCTTCCCAAGCTCTTGACAACAGCACAACTCCCCAGTTCCCCCTGGGGCAGCCAGGAACCCTCCTGCCACTCACGGTATGAGGGATGCCTGTTTTGGTTTGTCACCCCATCCCTACCACAGCTAGACAGGAGTCAGCAAGGAGCACTGGTGTTTCTGATGCACAATTTCTTCCTCCTCTGTCTTGGAGGGGGAAAATTACATTTAGCCGGTGTCTACCTTCTCTCTCCCTACAGGTGGTAGCAATCACAGCATGATAGAACCTGAAATGGCTATTTTCCCCCCAAAAAATAAAGCCTTAGTTTACTGAAGCAGAGGCTAGTGGGCATTCAGTTGGAGAAACTGCTTTGTTGGAAGTGTTTAATGGTGTAGGAGAGTAAAGTGTGACGGAACATTGAGGCACTCGGTGCAGTACAGTGGGGAGTGGGTGGGAGGGAAGGAGAAGACTGTGAGAGGGCTGAGGCACCCCTGGTACTTTATGTGAAGCCATACCACACTCTGGCTCTGCTTGCTGGTTGAAACAGAATTCCCAGCCAATGAAGCAAGTAGTTCAGAAGCACATATTGGGGTATTTTTGAGCTATTGATGGCCTTTCTTTGTACAAATCATCATTTTTGTACAAGCTCGTCGCTTGTCATGTGAGATTAGACCTCAAATTTAGGCCCTAGAAAGAAAGATAGAGAGCTAAAAATTTAACAATTTCCAAAACCAAATGTTATTCTTTTGTCTTAGCATCTTTAACCCCATGTATGCAAGTGTGTACAAATGTATATACTCAAAGGCAGAAATACCTCCTGATGATAAAATAGTCCCACACAAACCAGGCAGGAATGTGAAGATCAAGCAAGTGGGAACATGTGCCAGTCTGCTCCACTAACCTACTTAGATGCAGCTTGGTAACAGAAAAATAATCTGCCATCTGATGCTCCGGATGCTTTGACCATATCCTGGCACTGTGCAGACCTCACGTATGGAAATATTTTGCCTCTCCTGGCAAAATCATAGTATCATAGAATGGTTTGGGTTGGAAGAGACCTTAAGATCATCTAGTTCCAATCTCCTGCCATGGGCAGTGACCATGATGGGATATTTCTTCTCCTTGTCAGTGCATAAATTTTAAGTTTACTGTTTGAAGGGACATGACCAAGTTAAGTAACCGTAGTGATTGTAGAACATGAGGAACATGTACCACAACATTGGGATTCATCTCTTCTTTGTTGGCCGCCCTACTAACCAGCACCTTTCCAAAGCTGAGGGTGTCACACATTCATTCCTCCAGGAAAGCACTGTATTGAAGTATTTTTTCTCCCAGCTGTATCTGTTGACCTTATAAAAGATGTAACCTCTCCATACACGTGTGCTTGGTCTGAACCAAAATGTAATATGCCAGCAGAAGCAGCCTACCTTGTGCTTGGGCAGGAGCTAATGTGTTGGCCATGTTTTTTCCTGAGTTATTAGATGAAATCCTTTTGCAGCTTGCTTTGCCTATGGTCTTTTGCTTTTTTTTTCACTGCAGACCTCAAAAGCAATCCCCTTGGATGTAGTTATATATATTTCAGAACACAACAAATAAAAACACAATGAGGCTCTTTCTCCATGTTGATACTTTCTTCAACCTTTCTACTGAGGATTTCCAACTGCATTTGTCATTGTGCGGTAAGGGCTCTGAATGAATTTATTGATGGTAGCTGGGAAAAAAAAGGGCAAAAATAAAGGAAATCCCTCGAGGGAGCAGGTATGTCATGAACTTCCCCAGGTTATTTGCAAATGCTTGTGCCAGTGTCAATAAATACCTCAAATTTCAGGATAGGCTACATTAATTACAGGATGGCATTATGTATTTAAAGGTTGCTGAAAGTTATATCTGCGATCAGTCATGTTCAAACTGCAGGGTCACATGAAATATTTGTTATTTTAATACACAGGCGTGCACGCGAGCAGCAATAGCGTCCATGATGGTTTAATAGGCTTTTATTAGTTCGTACTCTCCTTGTAATCGTGTTTTACAGTATGTGTGCTCAATGTGTTCGTGTCTATGCTCTTCATGCACACATCGCAGGATGCCAAAACATCCTTCTGCTTCCTTGTTTCCAACCACTTAGTCAGGCACTTGAACACTTTCCAAATCTTGTTAAAAAACAGAAATAGCACTATCACTTCTTGTCGGAGTACACAGAAAGTGATGGAAGAAGAGGGCAGTATAAAGGTAGAGCCAAACAACTGCGATATAGGGGGATTTTCATGGGTGAGCTCACGAGATCCCCAGTGCTATGTTGTCCATACCTGATTTGGGGCTTCCCACTGCCTCAATGTGACAAACTGGGGTTTGAGTTCACTTGCTGGATGGAAAAGCGCTGCAAAGATGCTCCTTGTATGTTAACTCCAGTTTAGAAAGTTTACAAAGCAAGGATTCCCTCCCCAAAAATCACAGGGTATTTGTCAGAGCTCACATCTATATTTTTTTAAACTATCCTACTTTTTTGGTTTGGTTTGGTTTCATTTCGTTTTGCCAGGAAAATTTAAATTAACATTCAAATAGTTGGGATTTCTTTTGAATCAAATAGATAAAAAATTTACTTGACTATTCACTACTTTTGCCTGAAGCTAAACTAGTTAGACAGCCTCAACCTAGATTCATAAAGACTTTGAATGTGCATTTCTGGTGATTTAAAAATTGCTCCTGAGACTGTTCAGTGTTTCAGTCAGGTGCAGCGTTGCTGGGTAACACTGGGATCATGAAAGGCTGGTGGTCCTGGTACCTCCAGAGAGCACAGTTGCTGCTTTTACCGGGTTTTGTGATTAGACTAAATGTTTTCTGCTGTGTGTCTCACAGCTGGGGTGTAATTGAAAAAAAAAGGAGCAGTATTAATGACTATTAATTAATTGGACACTCACAACCAGAGGGAGCAGGGGAGGATATTTTCCCTTGGATTACTCTTACAGAATTGTATTCTCTGATGTCTACAGATTATTGGGTTCACAGAATCATAGTATCTTAGAATCCCAGGTTGGAAGGGACCTCAAGGATCATCTGGTACAACCTTTCTTGGCAAAACATGATTCAGACTAGTTGTCCCAGCACCCTGTCATCCCATTGTCATCACAGGAGGCAGCTATGTTGCCTTGGCTCCCTGTCTCCATGAGGTGTGAATATCTGTCCAGTTTGTCTGCAGTCACCCCTTGGGTTTAAAAGCATGTGTTGATGCAGGCATGTACCCACACACCCATCCGTCCACATAGAGTGTGATAAGTCAGCCCCTATAGTCTTAAGAAACCAAGATACAAATAACGTTGTCTTAGAAGGCTTATATGTGCATGACTAAGAGGACTGTGTTGCTCCTACTGCCTTATGAGAGGGGCTGGGATTTCAGATTTAGTTAAGGAACTTGCAATGGAGTCATGAGGCAGCCATTGGTGGCTGTCTACACTACAGCCCCCTTTTGTTCATGGTCAGCAAAAAAGCTTGTCAAATAACATTTCTCACATTGTTTGCATGGTATACACCCCACAATCTGAATAACTTATTTTACTGAACATTTTTTTGGCCAGATGACAGGCTAGACATAGGGTTTACTAACATAATTGTCAAAAGCAGTCCTTTGATGGGTCTGGGAGGAAGTTTGAAGGAGCAGTGTCTGTGGCCCCAAGTAGCAATGGGTTGAGGAGCACATGGCCACATGCCAAAACTTCTGCTGGTAGCATCTCCTTGCAGACATGGCCTCCATGAAACATCACGGCAGGTAAAAGCTGTCCAAACCAAGCTGGGTGGCAGGAGCGTGTCTCATGGGGAGATCTGATGGTGTGTCAATCCACTGAGCCTTCCACCCCATTACCAGACCAGGGTAAAAGAGCAACTTCACAGGGAGAAAGAAGCAATTGAGGAGCTCTTATCGTACGGCCCTCCTAGAGATAGTAAGCTTCAGCTCTAGCCCTCATGATGCAGAGGTAGTGGGAAATAGTGGCATATTTTTCACTTTATAGAGGGTATGGCTGGCTTGAGGTCATGTGTTGGGTCTTCTTGCTCCTACAGAAGCAAAGGACACATATGAGACACTCCTGTTACCAGCCTATGTTCAGTGCAGCAGGGATAGAGCACAGGTCATGCAGGCTCATGTTAAATAGCATTTTTCAAGTGAGTGGTGTCTTTTTTTTGTTAAGGAGAGCAACGATCTCATTTACCTCGAGGCCGATGCACTCATGGAAATTGAAATATATATGATAATAGTGATGGCGAGGGTGGCAAATCTCTTGCATGAGAAAACTTGATATATAAATACACATCACAGCTCAGGGCGCATCTTCATTTCACCCATAAGAAGTTTGTGCAAGTGCGGAAAAGTCCAGGTTTTTTTCTCCTGCCCCCCAAAGAAACATAATCCAGACTTTATATCGGATGGTTTATGGGAGTTTATTGGAATATCCAACAGGGTTCATGCAGTGTGTCATAAGGTAAAGCCTGTTCATTGGTTATTTACAAGCAGTGTGTGCCGGTGTTACTGTAATTTATAGACCACAGATGGTCAGGGGGTGCCCCTGCTGACTTGTAGCTGCATTAAGAAGCTGAGCCCTGTGTGTCATCTCCTGTGGGTACCTCCAGCTCACTTCCCCAGATTAGCGCTGATCAAGATCTGCCTTCAAACCCAAAGGGTCCTGAGACCTCTGCCTTGCAAGCTGGGGCAAGGTGGGGAAAAAGAAACTCAAGCCTATCAGAACGGCACCAAAGGAAAATTGCTTTTTGCAATAATAAGTTCCGTTCTCAAGGCTGGTACTTCAGTTGATGGGCTTCTGTCACCGGTTAAATGGAGAAATAAGAATGTCAATCTCCTTTTCATACACTGGCCTAAGACAAACATTTCCCCTACAAAAAGTTATATATATATATTCATAAATCTCCCTTGTAATGACTTTTAAGATAGATCCTGTCTTTGTTCTTACCATTTTAACCTTTTAGGTGATTGTCTTTAACTATGTATTACTATGACTTTCTTTCCTGAATTGTTTACCTAAGCCATTGCTTCTTTAAATCTTATGAAATAACTGTCTCTTTATTCTGGCACCACTTTCTGATCCCTGGGGAATTTTTTCCTGGTGGATGCACTAGGTAGAGAGAGGACAGGGCTGGCAGCACGTCCCACCCAAATCCTTGGGAGATTTATTCCTTTGGCCAGCGGATCGGGCCCCTTTTGGCTTCTCATTGCTCTGGTTGACAAGGTTCCTCACGTCACCTCGTATTTCTCCCAGACGTGTTTTTGTCTTGCTGCGTGTGGCCTTGTCCTGCCTGCAGGAATACTGCGGTGGTCTCTGGCAGCATCCAGCAGCCTTCGGAGGGACGTGCCGGATCCAGGGACGCCTGGCGCTTGGCTTGCTCGCCGCAGCAAGGTCATGCATTTTAACAAGGCACTGCCGATCCCCTTTTTAAAGGGCATTGATTATGTTTTGTTAAAATGGGCTTTGAACTCATCTGACCCTCCGCCGGTAGGACATTTCAGGGCTTTTTTCTGCCTGGACCACACTTGACACCTGTTGGCAAACACAGCTGCAAATGCTGCTGTGAGAAACCTGCATCCGAGCTCAAAACTGAGCGGTTTGATTTTTTCCCAAGAGTAAAGACATAAGAGAATTTGGTGCTTCTTTAGTTAGTAAAAAGATTTTAAAAAAACAACTTTGTTTTTCCTTATCATGATGAGGTGAAAAAAACCTCCTCTATAGACAAAAGAAGCAGAAGGAGAGCTGTAATGGAAATAAAATTGACAGCCTCTCAAAACTCAGGTGGCACTTTCCTTTTCCAGTTAATTACAGTTTTAATTACATGGCTTCTTGTGACTCCTTGATACCTAATAAACTAGACTCTGTGGGGCGGCAAAGTTGAGTTTTGCTTGAACTGCAGGTGTAAGGCTCAGCATGAAACATAAATCAACTTCTTAAACATGTTCCCAGGGTGTGTTCAGGCTTTTTCTTCCTATTCGCTTGTAAAAATCACATCTTTTCACCATTGTTGGGGGAAAAAAAGGAAAAAAGGTTGAAGCTACAATGCAGTGGGTATTACCTTTGTGTCTTTGGATATAAAAATCCCTTTTAGTAGGGAAAAAAAGGCTTTTTTTTTAACCTCAGAGCTGATAAATTTTAAAGGAGTGATGCATTACCCATATAGACTTTCTCTCATTATCATTTTTTAGTGGGGGTGCATAAGATAGAAGACGAAAGTACACTGGCAGCATGAAAAAGAGGGTAGATTGGTAGTTGGAAAATAAAGAGACATTCACCCCATAGGAGCTGCCTTTTCTGAAGGTTTTGAAAACAGAGAGTGCCTGTTTATTCTTTGTGTGTTACGCCATGGAAATCTGTGCTCCAGTCAGGTTCAAGTGCAGTGCCATATATTAACCGTGAGCAGGATAACACAATGATGACCTGTTGCAGCAAAAAACTGAAGATAAATATGCTTCAGAACTTCTTACAGGTCTCAATCCCAGGACATCTGATGGGGCCATGAGCCTGCGGCAGGCAGCAGTGTCACGACCACACATTGTGACGATTCAGTGGGGTGAAAGATCGCCCATCTTCCCTCTTTCCCAAACCAAACAAAATTATTAAAAGAAGGAGGAAGGAGGGAGAGAAGGGGAGGAGGAAAAGAGGCAGGAGAGCTTCATAGTGCACTTCAGTGTTGGTGCAGAACATGAGCAACAAGGTTCATGTGTGAGACATGAGTATATCAACAAGTCCTTAACCTCTGAGACA